GCATCAGCACACGATTGAGGACCTTCCTTTATTCAAGTGTGCAACAAGTGCCTCCAAGTCAGAGACCATGGTCTCTCACCGGAAAAGGGTAGAGTGCCTCCTTCGGGTCGGGGTGGATGTCCTTCCCCAAGTCGAAGAGTTCAAGTACCTTGGGGTCTTGTTCGCGAATGGAGGTAGGGAGCGGGAGATCGATAGGCGGATCGGTGCGGCATCTGCAGTAATACGGGCACTGTACCGGTCTGTTATGATGAAGAGAGAGCTGAGCTTAAAGGCGAAGCTCTCGATTTATTGGTTGATCTACGTTCCCAGCTTCATCTATGCCCACAAACTTTGGGTAATGACTGAAAGAACAAGGTCGAGGATATGAGCGGCCGAAATGAGTTTCCTCCCCAGGGTGACTGGGTTCCCGAAGCTTGGCCATCCGGGAGCGGCTCAGACTAGAACCGCTCCTCCTCTACTCGAGAGGAGCCAGTTAGTTGGCTCAGGTATCTGATAAGGATGCCTCCTGGTCGCCTCCCAGGTGAGGTGTTCCGGGCATGTCCCACCGGGAGGAGCTCCACAGGTAGGCCCAGGACACGCTATGTGTCCCGGCTGGCCTGGGAACGCCTCGGGATCCCCCTCGGAGGAGCTGGCAGAAGTGGCCGGGGAGAGGGAAGTCTGGGTTTCCCTGCTTCAGCTGCTGCCCCCGTGACCTGAATCCGGATAAGTGGTGGAAAATGGATGGATGGATAGAAGATCCATGTAACTGATTCAGTGAAAGCCTTAGAGAAGAGTACAAACTCAGTCCCGGTTGTGATTCTTTGGCCAAAAGCAATTTGCAGCACCTTCACATCAGTGTGAATCATACATTCAAGCTGAGCTGCGTCGGAGGCTGGGATGACCAGCGTCAAGAAGGCAAAGGGTAACTATTGCTCAAGTCTTGTGGATCTTCACAATGTGGAGCTGTGTAAAAGAATCCACTATCACCAATGGGTTTGGAAAGATGCCCATCACTGCTTCTAGTGACCAGGACCTCAGCAGCAGTGTGTTTTATGTTTTGCAAGTGCATCCTGCAACATTTGATTGCCAAATAACAGATTATTACTATGCGGGTAGAAAACCGACCAATGAGAGGCAATGACCAATTGCCAAACTTCAAGACAAGAGAACATGATGCAAAATATACTTCACTGATTTTCAGTGCTAAAGACTTAGGACTTGTGTGTATCATAGTTTTGGAAACTTTGGCTGGCATATAAAAAAAATTTAAAAAAATTGAAACACCCCACGTACAGGTCAGCCTGCCACTCCTATTCTTTAAGAGAAAACTGGAAGAATACAGTTGGCAGGAAATTGTTTTAAAAGACAGCAACAGTAAACCTGTTCTTGCTGTGAAAAGGTGCACAGAGGATAAAAGGCCCATATTGAGACATACTGTGATTCTATTAAGTTAGTCAGCACAAACTGACAGATTTGTCTTTGTTGCCAAAATATTTTTTTTTTGCACGCAAACAACTTCATTACTGCTCTAAAATATGTAACTGCACATTTCACATTATTTATTTTTAAATAGTCATAATTTCGATCTTCTATAAAAGTTGACCCTTTTTTAAATTTATTTTGGCTTTACAAGACTGACCTCAATTTAATTTAATAGTTTGCAAAAACGATACATCATTACACTTAAATTCAAGTTTGTCCATTCAGTTCATTAATCCATTTTCTGCTGCTGAACAGGTCACAAGTGCAACAGTTTTTGTGGTCATTGTATTGTGTCTTAAAGTTGACCTCCCACTAAAACCACTGAATCAAACTTGCAGATGAAAAAAACTCCTCTCCATAGCTCTCCTAAATGAAAAAGGTCAACACTAATCTTTTGGTTTTAACTGGCCATTATAACTTCTGCATCACTGCCAGTACATTAACCTCATGAACAAAACTCAAAGACGCCTAAAAATATCACATACTGGCTTATGCAGCACAACATTTTAATGCTTCAAGTAAACCCAAACTGTAAACTCAATGGGCATTTAATGACTATTTCATCTTTGCACAAAGTGCTCACAATATCGCCTGTCTACTGGTGACAAATCATTTCTACTGTTTGAGAATACAGTATTTTTTAAGGAAGTTATTTATTTTAATAGAAATTAGAGATAACAGCACTTTTGTTTTATCCAGAGTCACCTTAACCGTGTCCCATTTTTCTGATGATGCAGTGATGCTTAAATCAGTGTAGTGGTTGTGATCTGAAAAATTTGTCTCCCCGATGAGCATTCAGAAAGAGGGACAGTGTCTATTAATGGCCAACCCAAATTAGTAGAAATAACCAATTATTGCACCAGGAAATATCCTTTGAGGAGGTATCGTCTAGACGGTATTACAACTGTGGCACAGTGGCTGATCTCAATAAATAATATGTACTGCCTTTGGTCATTGTCCTTCAGAAAACCTTTCACTTGCACCTTCACTATATATTAGTGTGACTGAAGGCTGTCAACCTGTCGGACATATTTATCGCGGTATCATGATCAGTCAGACAAATAAGCAAATCAGATGCTGATTCAGAGTGAGGGTTAGAGGATATTTATTTGCTCTCACAGCTTAAGAACTTAAAGGCTGAGGCTTATTCAAGCCTTTTTTTTGGAGTCGGTACTACTCAAGGAAACAGCTTCTGTGCTAAACTGAACATAATTTCAAGAATAGCGGTTACTTCTCTCTCTCTGGCAGCTGGCTAGCAGGTAGAAACACTTTGCGTATACAAAAATAAATTACCTTTGAAAAGTCTGATATCTGTAATTTGTGTAACATATTTTTTTGTCAGTGTTCATACACAACATTTTTTCTCTATAATGTTAACATTTAAAAGGGCATGTGATTTTCCGAGGCATTGAGGTAGTAATTCCACCCTCACCTTACCATCAGTGTGCTATTTAGGCTAGAAGGAATGTCTGTGACTACCACATAGTACACATAATACAGCTTTACTTAGAGACTCAGTTATTCCCTCCTTCTTCATTCTGCTGTGAAGATGTCATTAGTAAATTACTGAATATACATACAGTATATATATATATGAATGACTGAATGGAAATTTCACTTGAAATAGAAGGCATTTTATTTAACCAGAAGTTGAACAAGTCAGTCTTGGTTAGCTTTGTGTGTTTGATTGAGCGTTTCAGTAGTGTACATGAGAGCTTTCCATTAGTGTGTATGGAAGGTTCCACTTGTGGACAGGGTGTGTGTGACGCATCTAGCGCAGCAGTGTAGAAAAGTCCATGTAGATGTAGTGCATGTTCTCTGCATGTTGGTATTGCACGTGTGCATGACGCTTCTCTGCATGTTGCTCTCTACGCTGGTAACTGCCGCTGGCTAGTTTCCCCTCACAAGGCGCGAAAAAGAAGCCGAGTGCGTAAGTCTTCTTTGCCAGTACACAGCTTCTCCACCACCAAGACTCCTGCAGTGCCTCCTCGTGGCCACACATGGTAACTGAGCCCTTGCGGACTCAGGCAAAACTACAAGGGATCTCGGAGCAACAGTGGGCCCCAGAGGTGTGTGTCGAGGTAGACTCCTTGACACCATCAACCACTGTCCCAGCTATGGGTAAATTGCCCCATTTCAGGCAAGGCTAAGGGAGCAAACCCTAACAGAAAAACAGCTCATTGCTTCCATGCTGGTACTCATCTCTGCTTCTCTAATGAAGGGGTGTGCAAGCATCCATCTTACTGCAGTTAATACATTGACTCTCAATATCTAAGTCAAACAACCTCATGTTAGATCATTTGAACTATGCCTTCCTTTGGTTAAATGGCCTGGATGTTCAGGTTAAAAAAAGGAAAGAAACTTGCAATTGAAATAAAACTCCAAAACTGATTAAAAAATGTCTTATAGAGTGGGACAGTGATATGGCATCTTTCCTGCTACTCCTGCATATCCTACCACCTCAGCCTACTAAAAAGAAAACGCAGAAGATCAGTGCAGCTCAGGCCATGGACCATCTAGTTGTGTTTCACAAGGTATGTATCAGGCCACAGTATGCAGTTTAATTGGGAAATGTGGCACAGACAAAAACACAATATTACAATGTAACTCATTACTTAATTATTTTCCCCACAGTCATGTAGGAGCCTAGACGAACACATTGATAACCAGGAGGGACATCACCAGCCATATGTTCTTGCGTCTGGAACCTGCAAGCAGGCCATCAGCACGTACTACATTGTGACAGACAAGAAGCTCATCCCCTGCCAGGGAACCACGTCATTGGCAGCTGTTGACGAACTCTTTAAGGTGCACTTTGTTTTCAGTGTAAGTTACGATGCTGCTCTCAACAACATGTACACATTCCTCCAGACAACAGTCTATGGTGTGGATGTTGACACGACAAAAGAAAGTCCAAAGGGGAAGGAATTAAGGGCCAAGTTTATGAACTGGAGCTAAGAGCCAAGTTCTTATACAATGTATACATGTACATCATTGCATGATGCACTTTGTTTGCATAA